GCCTACGACTAGCACATCACAGCATCTACAGCAAGACAAGTAGACATTCTGAGAAGATAAAAAATTAAGGGTGACAGTGTTTGTCCCTAATTCCAGAAAACAAAATTATGTGAATTGGATAACCAATGAGTAATAACTAAATGTAGCTGAATATTCTGAAAGTTGGCTCAGTGTGACAAACTGGGGTCTAGTCTTCTGTAAGTTTACCCACATTGATGCTATAACCTTAGCTTATCAAACAGACTTCCAGCATTTAGTTTGTAGCATCGTTTTTCATAGCTTCACATTTGTAACTCTCTCCCACTTCCGATCCTTTTATCTGGCATCATTTCTCCCATCTATATCTGTCTCTCAACCTTCAGATTCAGTGTTCAAGTAGGAAAATAGAAGTGGTTGTTCTTAAATTTGCTGAAGTACAGAAATGTATGGAAGCGTATAGTTACAAATCTCCACTTCTTTTTCTTAGATTATCACCAGAAATGATGCAATAGAGTCTATTGTAAAGAAATAAATTAAACTGTACGTATACTTTTTCCTTAGACTATAAAAAAACCATCTAAATAATTATTATATATTATAATTCACCCATTTGACAAAATGAGTTTCTATAGAGAAGAGCAATCATGTTAAGCAATATAATGTCTTTGTTAAATATTTTATGACAGTATTTTTGTGCTTTAATATTTAACTTCATTGTCTAAAACGTGTCTAGAATTTATAAGTCATCATTCAACTGTTCGAGAAATATTTGTGAAGCATCTTCAGGAGCGTCACAAGGAGTAAGGCAGTGAGCAATACAGAAGTCCTGATCTCGTGAAGTTGTGCACTAGCAGTGAAAATTAAAGCATGAAAATTTACTATTACTAACGCTAAAGATTAAAACATCAGATAAATAAGATAATTAGATACATTAGCCATCAGTCAGTGGTACATGTTTTGCAGGAAGTTAAAATAGCATGATATTTTACCTTATTAGAGTTTCACAGAAATTAAAAGCATCCATTAATTAAAAAGATCAAAACTTGGTATTTTTCTTCAGTGGTTTTCTGAAAAAGCTACTAACTAAGTAATTCTTGGTCACAAAAACCTATTGATTTAAATTTAATTTATTTCTAAGAACATATAAACCCACTCAATTTTTCTATACTTTGCCAATTATTATAATTATATATTTATTATAGTTATAATTATTATGGTATTAACGTGTTTTCTCTCAAGTTAGACATTTACCTGCCTTGGAAAGAATGCTAGATTAAGAATCAAGAGAATATGAGCAAGGAAGTCAGGACTGTGAGGGGTTGGTCCACCCCCTGAGACAGTGTGTGTGATCTAATGGGAGCTCACCAAATCTAGCTAGACTGGGACTGAACGAGCATGGGTTCAAACTGGACTCTGAATGTAGCTGACAATTGGGGCCAACTGAGAAACCAATGATAATGACACTGGGATTTATCTCTACTGCATGTACTGGTTTTTTGGGATCCTATTCTATTTGGATGCATACCTTCCTAAGCCTGGATGGAGGGGGAGAAGGCCTTGGGATTCCCACAAGGCAGGGCACCCTGCCCTCTCTTAGGACTGGAAGGGAAGAGGAGGAGGGGGAGTGGGGGAGTAGGAGGAAAGTGAGAGGAGGGAAGGAAGTGGAAATTTTGAATGGTATTATTTATAAAGTAATAAAATAAAAATAATAAAAAAAGCATTCTACCACAATGGTACTTCCTTTTTCACTTATTTTTCCTTACTACACATGGGTGTTTTACATGTAGAACCATGCAGCACACGCCTGCCCTGATGCACGAGGAATCTATAAAGTAGGGTTCGATTCTGTATAACTAGTTACAACTACAGACAGTTGTAAATGGACACATGGGTGCTGGGAATCCAACCAAGACTCTCTGAAAAAGAAACCATGCTCTTATAAAAACCTTCCTGTTTTATTTATTCTTTGTGTCTTTCACATCAAGCATCTCTCAATCCCATTCATCCCAATCCCTTATATGCTCCCTCTGCCCTTGCAACTTCCCAAAATAAAATAATTTTTATTGCATGTGTCACTTACATCATGTATCTCAATCCCATTCATTTCCCTGTCCCTCATATCTGCCCTCTGTCTCTACACCCTCCAAAAATAAAACAAAACTTAAGAGAAAAAAATGAAAAGATTTTAAAAGGAGAAAAATTTAAAAATCTCATCATGAAAACTGCAGTGTGATGCAGTAAGCCATGGCATAAACCCCTTTGTTCATATATCTTTACTTGCAAGTATTCTGGTTCAAGGCTCTGGTTTCTACTACAATGTTGATACTGGGTACTCACCAGGACTATTCCTGGGTATACTGTTGTTACCCTGTGTTGTGGAGATCCTACAGTTTGAGGTATGCCGGTCAGGTTCGTTCATGTGTTCCAGCAGAGATGAAGTGGATGTTGGGCTGGGCCAAGTCATAGCTCTAGGTCTGGCTTTGAGCAGCTGTAGAGTTGGTTCACCAGATGAAAGATGGTGACAGCTCTCCCATGTTTATAACTTTGAAACTGGTTCACCCATACCACCTGAACTGGGTTGTCTCTATTGTGCTGCCCTGGCAAGATGTAGGGCCTGTTCTCCCTAGTTTTGCAGTTTGTGGGGTCAGGGATAACTCTCCAACTCTTTTAACAACAGGGCCAGTTCTCCTCCCTTCCTCAGACGTTGAGAGGAGGGGGTCTCATTCACCTGTCCATGCTGCCCCAAGACAGATGAGAAATGGGACATCTCTCCCATGCTCACAACTTGGGAGCTGGCTCACCCAGATCTTCATTAATAGCCTTGGTTTTATTGTGGTGCCCTGGGAAGGTGAAGAGCCTGCTCTCTGAGTGCTGCAGCTGATAGGGGTCAGGGACAATTCTCCTGCTCTTATATGACCATAGGACTAGCTCTCCTACCTGCCCCAGGATGAGAGGAGTCGGGTGGGGCGTCAGTGAAGATAAAATAAAATTTAAGAGATGGTGTAGAAGGCTTTTCTGTTGTGTGTTGCTTTCATTGGTTGAATAAAGAGACTGCCTTAGCCTTTTGATAGGGCAGCCCTTAGGTCATAAGCACCATCTTACTAAAACAGATACAACTTTGTTTTAGAAATCCATTATTTCTGCTTTAGTACATGATAAGATCAAATTAATTGACTAATTCCCCCATAATTCATTACCACAGTGCTTGTGCTCCTAGAATATTAGAGTATAAAATACTAAAATATTGACAAACATTCAAAATAAACACTAGACTATTTTTAATAAATAAGTTTAAATAAGTAATGATGTGAAGCCAATAACACGGTTATACTTTCAATATATAAAACTGTAGACAATTATGCTTCATGTTCATTAACTTAACGATTTTCATTTCATAAATATCTAGAAATTCAGACTTTTTAGGATTTTACTTCATAAATGGAAGGATATTCACTACTGTTTTCAAAAAGCTAAAGTGGCAAACTCTAGAAATGATCCCGACAGTGGGAGCAGGTGTATCTCTGACTCTATTGCCTTCTATTGGGACTCTTTCCCTCCTATTGGGTCACCTCATCCTACCTCACTATGAGGGCTTTTACTTTGTCTTATTCCATCTTGTTTTATCCTGTTTAGTTGTTGTCTCTTGGGGGTCTTCTCTTTTCTAAAGAGAAAGGAGAGGATACGGACCTGGGGAAGAGGAAAAATATGCAGGAGGAGCTGGGAGGAGTGGAGGGAGGGGAAACTATGTCCTGGATATATTATATGAGAGAATAATCTATTTTCAAATAAAAAATAAACTAACAAGTAAATCAAGTTCACATTACCTCAGCCTAATGGCAGAGCCCTGGATGATATTGTTACCAACTAAGCTTTGTACTTCTACTAAGATCTGAGTTGTATTTGCAGTCTGAATTTTCTTCTCAGAGGAAAAAAATCATCACTTACGGAGTCTTAAATTTAGTAAAGGGTTTGGGGTTACTAATTTAAGGTATCGATTTTAAAAATGATAAAAGGAGTGGAACAAAATGAGCCCAGGGGAGTTAGTCATGACCATGGAGAAACCAAGAGTGAGCCCAGAAAAACGTCTCAGGGGTAATTGAAAAGAATTACTTAGGGTGTGAGGGTTCATACACCACAGGGATGATGAGGAAAGGGGTTATTAGCTAAGCCATTGTCTAAAACCCACTGAATCACTGGTCCCTTTCAATGATGATTGGTCCCTTTTTTTCTAAAGACGGGTTTTAAATTTTAAGAGACGATCTGAAGAGCAGAACTGAGAAAGAAAGGGACATAGATCTTACAAAGGAGTAAGGTAAGATATGGGATCTTTGCTTTGATATTTCAAAAACCAGACTCTGATACACTAACGTGGTCACCCTGACGTGTGGATATGGCCGCAGTGTGAAATACAATAGGTGTTTTTACAGATAGCAGCAAGAGGTTAGAAGTATCCACCCGTTGCCGTAAGTATCGCTACTACTGTTTACCTTCTCCTGGATGAAGAAGACAATGCTGCCACTACCACAGCTAATAATCATGAATATTATTAGATTTCTAATGGAAATTTTCTCTTTGGCCTAGTACTGGTAGATATTTGTTGTGATATTTTTTCACTGCAGACATTAAGATCATCCTAATAACAAAGACCCAGTCAGTTGATCCCAGGCAGACAGAGTGTGTGTGTGTTGGGGGGGCGGGAATGGAGCTTCACGGACTGGAGAATGCATACCCTTCAGTCAGAGGCTAACAGTGATATGGCTACATCATCTACCACTAAATGAGCTTTATGGTCAAGGAAACAGTTTTCTTCATAAATATCTACATTAAGAGATAGCCATACAGATAATTCTTATTTCGAGCCATAAATGTAAGTAAATAGAAACTGACTCAGCTAGCATGTGGATTTGACAGTGCCATCTGATGAACTTTGCTATGCCTTTATTTTTGTCATGAAATTTTAAGCAAAGAGTACCTTTTAAAGCTAAGTATTACAACTCATTGTATAGGTATATCATCTGAAAATGAAAATTATAATTCTTCTTGGACTCCTAGGAGCTACATCATCAGCCCCGGTAAGTGGAGCATGGTGCTCTTGATTTCAGCATACAAACCTATGCAATTCCCTTTCCTCACCATTTTCTTTATTTTTTTTTTTTAGCTTGTCTCACATCGCCTATTGTCTGCTAGCAACAGTCATGAGGTTAGTTTAAGTAATTAGGTCATTCTCCTGTGTTCTCTAAGTGAAAATACAATGGAAAGAGATAAAAGCCTGCATCCAGGTCACTGGGTCTTAAACATCTCCAAACATATGGTTGTTTTGTCTACCAGGTGGCTTCTAAAGAGTTGTTTTGTCTTCCTTGTGTAATAATAAGCTCTCCAAACACAGTGTCATCTGTACACTTTGTTTCAGTAGTACTAATGTAGGTATTAAATACAGATGCATAAACATAAAACACGCTTATTTTATTACAAATAACACTAACACATATTACTCAGCTGTTATAAAACTCCACTGAAAACTTGTCTCTTCTATGCAGCATATCTGATTTGACTCCACATATAATTAAATGAAAATTTCCCTTCAATAAGAAAAACTTAAGCTGATAAAACTGTGAGGTGTCATTCATAGCAGGGGCAGCATTGCTAAACTCAAACTTTGTCTTCAACTCAAACCTCTAATCCCTGTGGTTTAATGCAGTCTTAGCGGAGAAAAGTGTCACTTCACAACTGAAGCGAGTCAACTAGCTCTGGCTTGTGCTCCCTCTGTAGAATTCATTTCAGAATGCATAATCATCTCATTTTCCTGTTGTCTCGCCTTTTCTAGTTACTCCTCAATCTGAATAATGGTAGACTTTTGCCACTGGAATTTCAGGTACTGCAATGTACATAAACAGTTCAGAGGGAATGTGTTTCTGATGTGCGTTTCCTATGGTGTGAAATGAGAACAAAATGCATTCATGTATATTGTTAAGAATTTTATATGTGCCTGGCACTAATTCTGATGACTTTTGAGATAGCTAACCATTTTAAACAAAGCTGTATCTAGCCACCCAAAAAGAATAGTAAAGAAAAAAAATTGAATTCAATCAAATTTCTGCAGAAACTTGTGTTCTTTGTTCAACTCCTTGCATTTCATATTTCTCATGACAGTTGAAAACCTCCTATTTGTGAGGTTGGTTTGTTTATAAGGAGCTGAGATGTCTTCTCATAAAACTTAAAATATATAAATTGTCTTGATTTCAAGTTTTTTTTTAATGTGAGAGAGTAATGTTTCCTTTCTATCTTTGTTTATCACAGGGTACATTTAACCCCTGGATTGCTTCCTTCCCTGGGATTCTGCAGCAGCAGCAGCAGCAACAACAACAAGCTCAGGTCCCAGGAGGCCTACAGTTTCCAATCTCAACACTAGAGAGCTTTGCTGAATTTTTACCAAATCAGATACCTTTCTCAGGACAGTTTGGGCTTGCCCAAGTAGGCCAGGCTGGCCAACCAGAACCCTCACAGCAGCAGACCCCACCACAGACTCCACAGGTTGCTAACCTTGTAAGTGGAACTTCTTCCATATTGCAGCTGTAAGACAGAACATAAAGGTTGTTGTGATAATTTAAAACTTTGATATAGGACAAGAGTCTTATTGTGTCTTATGTCTCCTATGCTGTTTCAACCACCATGGAAAGCATCTCCTAATTTTAAATATAAAAGTAGCATTAAAATCTATTACCCTAGATTATAGACAGTGATCAGGAGTATGTAGTTGCATAATTTGCATGAATAATAACTCATGTAGAAGATAAAACATTAGTGGATATTGCTAATCAAAAGATACATGGGAAGCTAGCCCTAGGAAAAGCAGATCAAGAATTTTAAGTAACAACTAGAGTATGATTTGTTTATATGATTCTCAGGGTTTGTTTGTCTGTTTTCTCCAGGTGTCCTATGTGGTTCCCTTCAAAGTGCCTCAGGATCAAACACAGGTGAGTGAACAGAATCCTGTGGCTAACACAGAAGTGGCTCCCTGCGCTCTCCATAGCACTACCTCTTGCTCCCCTGGGTCTCCAGCATCAGGGTTTCATCACCTGTGGATCACCCATCACTGGCTAGAGGCACCATCACTAGCCTCTTGACATCTACTGATGCTGGGTTTACTTGATTCTCTAAGAACAGGAGCCAAATAGGATCTCTGGGACCCTTGCATATCTACGATATCACTATGCAGAGGGAAAGATTTCAGTAAGACCAGGACATGTCTTCTCTGTATTTAAGTGCCGACACCAGGGAACAATCCCAGGAGCTGACTCTGTACCCTCTCAAACTTTATTTCAGATAATCTTGCATTTATATCTGATATGTAGCTATAAATAATACACATTATAGTGATCATATTTTTATTGCAAAATAACACTAACATACATTATTCACCTCTTATAAAACTCCCACACTCTTGAATGCAGTGCTTATGATTTGTGTCACGTTATAATTAAGTGAAAATTTTCCTTCAATAATAAAAAATTAATTTTATATTAACTAACAAATTTGTTATGTTAATACAGAAAGTTCTGTTAATATTAGCTAATTATATAATACCTCAGATTCAAAGAAATGGGGCTACATATAAATCACTAATTATATAATACCTCATATTCAAAGAAATAGGGCTACATATAAATCACTATTCACACGAAGACTATTACTTGCTCAAACAAAGTTACACTGTTTGTCTCTTCTGTAAGCGTTATTATGCAATTAAGTTTCACTCCCACCGCCATTACATAATAACACAATTCTAGACATTATCTCATTGCATATCGCAAGTGTGTAGAGAGTCAGATATGTGACAAACACGATTACTTCATTTCAAGGACCGGGAAACATAGTTTTAACGAGATTAAGTATCTTATCCCAGTGAACTAAATACCTGAATTAGAAGTCAGTCCTCTTCCCATCTTTTAACCACTAATCCAGCTCTCTACACTGGCTTTACATCAAAATCTTAGTTGGCAATTTCGAAAATTACAAACACCAAGCCCCACCTTAGGCGCTAGGTATCACTTACTTGACCAGACAAATATTGTTGGGTTTCTGAATGTTTAATGGGTGATTTTTACTCTTGTCCAGGATAAAAACCTATTATGCAAGTTGTATTTATTTCAGAAACATGGTTGCATTATCTTCAAATGTTATAGCTACTATACTCATCTGATTATACAAAAGATAACACAGCATTAAACAATGTATCCATGTACCATGCTTCTTATTTTCCACAGGTTCTTTATGTACATGCACATAGACATAACTAGAATCCCAAAGATGACAACATTGGTGCTTTTATTTGTTTTATCACTTCCTAGGTTTCTCTAATATTCTAAAATTCATAATGATTATTTTTAAAATGCATATAGATTTATTACATCTCTGAGTGTTCTGCCTATGTGTATGCATGTGCACCATAGGCATGTAGCACCTCAAGTCAGAGGAGGGCATTGGATATCTTAGAACTGGAGTTAACTGGTGGTTTTGAGCCACCATGTGTGTGCTGGCAAGGAAAGCCAGGTCATCTACTGGAGAAACACGTGCTTTTAATCCTGAGCCTCTTGATCGCCCAAGAATTATTGTAATAAAATGGAAATCATTAAGAATTTAATTTAATTTCCTTTTCATTCACTAGGCAGAACTTTTAATATCATGTTCTGCAGAATTACAATTCTCAAGATTATAGGAAAAATACTGCATAGACTATCTCTCCTTAGAGGCTTGCACACTAACCTATATACAACATTTTTAAGATACTATTTGTTAAAAGAACACATGCTTCATTTACTTAGTTGAATCCTAAGTTCTTTAAATATGCAACTCTAAAATTGAAGTCTGGTATCATTTTGGGTACAAGTTGTTTCTAAATTTGGCAACACTGTAAAAGTGCTATGCACAGTTCAGTTTTTGCTTGGGATGGTAGTTCATACCTATAATACCAGGTTAACGTATTACTGATGGTAAAAGAGTGAGAAATGTTGTTCATCCTGATCGAATGAAACTTCCTGTGTGCTTCTGTGTTTACACATAGATGTTTGGGTACTACCCAGTTTACATGTTTCTGCCCTGGGAGCAACTTCAGCAAGCGGTCACATCATCACCTCAGCAAACAGGCCCGCAGCTATTTGAGGAGCAGGTACTATGTTGGTTTGGTTTTAATCTGATTAGTTCAATTTTGGAAAAAGGTAGGTACCCTGAGAAAAGAATAATTGAGGATGGATAGTGCACTCAAGCACTTGACCTCACAGAATAGGACATGGTGTCTCTCCTAGAAGCAAACTCTGAACTAATGTGGCAACACACTAAGCCTATAATCTCAATGAAGGGAGTCAGGAAATGGTTCTAATAAAATCAGGTTCAAAACCGATTTTTTTTCTGAATCGGATTTTTCTTACATTTAGAATCTATAAGTACTCATTATATTCATATACATATATATTTTTCAAATATATGTGATCATTTTTCAAAAATTTATTACAAAAATTGTCACAATTAATCTAATAACTTTTTCAAAATTCTGTCAGATACCATTTTATAATCAATTTGGATACATACAACAACAAGCAGAACCTGTGAGTAAATGCATAATTTTAATATCTAAAAATATATTTGGTACTACTTGTTCTCTATTAATATGTAATATATGCATGTATATATACATATAAATATATGTGCATATAATAATTTATATGTAATATAAATATATTATGTGCTTATTATGAAAACACTAAAATATGAAAGATTGAAAAGTAAAATACTTATGATCACTAGAACTTGAAATACAATTTGATACCATATATTCATTTTCTAAGCCTAAAACAAATTTTGAGAATTCAGTTTAAATTCAGATCTCTCATGATATGTGTTCAAAGATGTCTTAACATTCAATGTTGATTTTTGAAAACTAAAACATGTAGACTTTGAAAAAACATTTAATTAATGTAAAACGCATATAATTTTAAGTGATCATTTTTCAAAAATTTATGACAAAAATTGTCACAATTAATCTAATACCTTTTTCAAAATTCTGACAGATACCATTCTACAATCAATTTGGATACATACCACAACAAGCAGAACCTGTGAGTAAATGCATAATTTTAATATCTAAAAATATATTTGGTACTACTTGCTTTTCTATTAAACACAAGTGTGTCTTTCAAATAAAAATCACCAAGAGTACACTTCTAGATGGATGAAGTCTGATTACCTATGACATTGTTATGCAAACACACATAAGAAACCATAGAAAGATTTCTTAGGTGCACTTGCATTGACTTACAGAACTTGCATTGGATGGTTTTGGAGGGAGAATACTCAAGTATTAGTCAGTCCTGGAAAGGGAATGTTCGGGGGAGTAGGGGTGTTCTCTGAGTGTCTTAGGGATCAGATAGAAGATAATAGAACAAGTCTGAGGCTGTGTCTGGGGAGCAAGTCACTAGTAGTAACCAGGATGTGAGGTCACTTGTACTCGGTCTCTTACCATGACACTAGAAAATCTCATATTCCAAGCTTCATTGCATTCAGACACAGCATTCCCTGTGGTTGATGCTTTACAGACTTCTACGCCTGAAGCACACTGAGTGTCCATTCTCTCCTGCCTACAGTGGCCTTTCTCTTTCTCAAATCTAAACTCGTAAGAAGTTGAATTGTGATGGAGTGCTTTGGTTGGCAAAAGAATGTATGCTGATCCATCACTGATTTAGACCTCTTTACCCTTCTGCTTCTTCAGGGTGTACAAGGACGACAGCAGCATTTAGCTGTTGACACCTTTGTAGGCACAGCTCCAGAAACCCCCGGGATGGTAAGATTCCTTACAAAACCTTGTGGTAACTGGAAATTGACAATAAGAACTTCCAAGTTCCTTCAGTAGTATTCGTTTACTGTAAACACTGTGTCTTAGTTAGGGTGAAGAGACACCATGACCACAGCAACGCTTATAAGGAAAACGTTAAATTGGGGTGTCTTACATACTGTTTCTGATATTCAGCTCATTATCATGTGGGGAGCATGGCAGCGTGCAGGCACACATGGTGCTGGCTATGTCTTGATCAGAAGGCAATATGGAGTAGACACAGACACTGGGCAGTATCTTGACCATAGAAATCCTCAAGACCCACCCCCACAATGACACAGTTCCTCCAACTAGGCCACACCTACTTCAACAAAGCTACACTCCTACCAGCTTATAGGGACCAATTACATTCAAACTACCACATACTGTTACAATTATCATCAACAATTACTGATCTTCCCCCTGTATTCTTTGTTAGTCAAGATTTAAATCATTCAATTCCTCAACTATTTACTGAAAAACTTTTTCCAGGAACTCTTCTGTGTACCTTATTTAAAAGTTGGGGTACTATTGGTAGTTGATGACTTGGAGAGGGAAAGTCATTTCTCTTTGGTGGTATAGTCACTAACGGCTAACACGTGCATTAATGGATGAACCACACCAACATGTTTAATAACATTACTAATTGGATGCAGTGGGGTATGTTAACTTAAAAATAAAAGAGGGGAGGAGGAGCAGGAAGAGAGGTAGGAGAAAGAGAAGTACCTGAAGTTAAGAGACAGATGTGCTAGAAAACTCAAAAAAAGTTAGAAGGGAAAATGTGGGGTGGATATAATTATAACACACTGCATACATGTAGTGGCATTTCATCTGTATTTTAATAAACAAAGCTTTCCTGAAGATCAGAGAGTGAAACAGCCCCACTGGTCAGCCTTACAGACCAGGCAGTGGTGACACACACCTTTAATCCCAGTAGCTACACTAGCTGCCATAGAAACAGAGCAGTGCCTGCCTTTAATCCCAGTGGCACATACCTTTAGTACCAGAACTAGAGGGGATTATTAAATGATAGGAGACAGCTCTCAGTCTCATTCTGAGATTCCCTGAGGCAGGATCGCCGTTTTAGACCTAGGTAAGAGCTAGTGGCTGACTTCTTTGTTTTTCAGATCTTCAGGTTGAACCCCAATTTCTGTCTCTGAGTTTTTATTAGTCATACTTCACACATATGTATGATGTTCTCAAAGAATAAATTTAAAAGTAGCTATCAATATACAACCATGTTTGTGAAATATAATCACAACCTAAGATAGTTTATGAGCTATAAAACTAATAAGACACATATTGTTTAATGTGATGCCTATTTGTGCCCCTCAATCCTTTAGCTTCACAGTCTTCTGAGTTTGAGGGGTCTACTTGGAGATGTAACCACTTTGTCCTATTCTTGTTCTTACAGCCCATGGAAGGCGGTCCGCTGCATTCACAAAGAGAATCAGTCAGCTTTAAGCATGACAATGGAGGAGTTTTCATGCCTCCAACTTCACCAAAACCAAGCAACAAGAATGTTTTCACTCCTGCAATAGACCCAACTATTGCCCCAGTACTTCTAGAACAAAAGGTAGAGTGACCAAAGATTCATTTTATGAAATAAATTGTTCTTTATGGTTTAAGTGAGACATTATAATAAAAGTGCATGTAAGTAATAATATATTGCCATAACTCTGAATAAAAACAGCCAACAATTATTATTTTAAATCATTTTTTTCAGGGTGTAACTTGATTTTAATTGTAATATGAGCTTCTTGTGAATGTTCTTTCTCATTAGGTCAAGACTGATAAACTAAGAGAGCCATAAGATATTGTCTTAATCACTCGGAGATTTTGGTAGGTATTTTTTTTTGCCAAGATTATAGCTTAAATGCCCTAACAATTTTTAACAAAAAATTCATTTGAAAATTAACAAAGAGTTCTTAGCATAAAGATTATAGGAAAAACAAGCTAGTGTTTAAATCTGCCTACAAAGACCACACCAATTATGAGATTTGCCTAAATTTTAAAAATCAAAATTAACTTCTTAAAGTCATATTTGCCTATACTATAAACTTGATATGAGTCACATAAATACTGAGTATATTGTTTCTATATAAAAGAAATCACATGTTCTCTACATAGTCAGTCCTCTCAAGACATCTTTTCACTTTACTAACTAAATATTGTGATTAATGTTAATATCTCCTTGTTTTAAATAAAGTATAGTAAAGTAATAAAAAATTGCATAATGACAGAGCAATTTCAAAATTAATTAATTACATCCTAAATATAACTATGGTTAGATATTTGTCTAAATGAACTTGGTTGGCTACTGAAGATACATTATTCATTTATTAGGAAAGCATCCTTGAAGTTATACTACTAATAAAAACACACATAGAAAGGAATGCAGAGTCATTTAATAAGCAAACTAAAGGACAAAGTGTTTCAAATTTCTCATGAGCTCATTCAGACCCTTCTGGAAGAAGCAACATTGAGCAGACTTCAATAGAAAGGGGCCATTAAGAACACAGTCAGGAGCAAGGAGCATCCTTTCCTCTCTAGAAAAGTACCTCACTGATGCACTATTTGAATAGTGCAAATCAATTCAAGCTACTGGTACCAAACCTGAAAGGTGTTTCCGAAAGTGTTTCCGAAAGTGTGAGCTTCGGCCAGTGTAAAACTCCCAATGAGATGTTTTTGTTTCTTTTACAAACGATTTCAAATAGCTACACAATTTTATTCAAAAGAACCTACTAATACTGAAACTCTGTTCTTTCTTACTTTCAGGGAGAAGATGTGATGTTACCTTCGCTGTCTTTTAGATCATTTTCCTCTTCTATACTAATAGATATTTGTTTAATGGTATAAAATCTCTTCACTAGTCTCCTAATTTTCTTTACTTAGTATACTCTTCATGTCACAAAAAAATTAATACACCATGTAATAAGTTCTACCTTTACAAGGCTGTTTTTCCCAAAGACAGAAGTAATTATGCTTATATAATCTAGAAAATAACAATACTAAAAATAAAGCTCATAATAGCAAATTTATTTGATAACTGTATTAATAAAGATGTCTCTAAAATTGTGCCATTAAAGAAAATAAATATGTATTGTCAATAGATTTATGATGAATATGGTAATTGGTAAAAAAGAAATAAACTATGAGTCTACCTTTCTCATGTCAACATCTGCTTGTTTTTCCCAATCCCATTCTGTCAGCTTGCTTATGATTCATTCTCCATCAAAGTCAATGTTTTGTTCTGTCTTGATTTGTGTTTTTGTTTGTTTGTTTAGACAGGGTCTCACCCTATAGCATTGACTGTCCTGGAACTAAGTATGTAGATTAGGCTAGCCTTCAACGCATATAACCTGTTTCTTCCTCTGAGTGCTGGGATTAAGGGTATACAGTACCATGCCTGGCCCTCCAGAATTATTTCAAAAACAGATATTAACCATGTGTGCTCTATTTATACCACAACTACATAGAAAGATGGGTGCTGAATGCAAAAGGACAGAAAGAAGGTGCCCGCTTATCTGGGGAGACAGCAGTCTACAGACGCTGGGACATAGATTTTGAATTTCATCACATTTGGATTTGAATCTTGAAGATGCCACTTAAACTTAGGCCTCTATTCTCAGTTGTAAATAGGGCAGAGTGAGATATGAATTTTAGAATTTCTGAAAGTACTGCTTGAAATAACATACAAGTACTAAAGAGCTACTTTTCTCTTTTTCACATGTAAACCTAAAAGTACTTTCAACTTATTTTCTCAAATTCAGATCTTTAGCAAAAATTATCTGAAAACAGGAAATTTAGCATTTAATGTACCTTATATGTATGTTAATAGAAGCATGTTATACTAGCTGTGAAGAGACATCATGACCACAGCAACTCTAGTAAAGGAAAATAATTTAATCGGGGCAACTTACATATTCAGAGGTTTAGTCCACTATCATCATGGTGGACATGGTAGCATGCAAGCAGACACGGTGCTGGAGCAGATGTATCTTGAGCATAGTAGACCTCAGTGCCAGCCCCCACAGAGACACGCTTCCTACAACAAGGTCCTACCTACCCAACGAAGCCACACCTCCTAATAGTACTACTCCCTATGAGTTTATGGGGGCCAATTACATTCAAACTACCACATATGTGAATCTGCATGTGTTAAAGATGAATAAGTTAATAAACCAATACATGTTATATTATTCAATAATTTGGTGTTCCAGTGGTAAAACACAAGGACATATTGAAATTTGCAGGCAAATGGATGGATCTAAGAAAAAAACCTATTAAGTGAGGTAACCCAGATTCAGAAAGACAAAATTATATGTACTCATAAATAGCTTTTAGGCATAAAACAAAGAAAAAAACAGCCTACAGTCCACAACCCCAGAAAACCTAGACAACAAAGAGGACCCTAAGAGAAACATACAAGGATCTACATAGGAAGATGAAAAAGACAAGATCACCTGAGTAAATTGGGAATGTGGGGATACAAAGGAGGGTAGATGGGAAGAAAGAAGGAAGAGAGGGAAGCAGAGAAAAATGTAAAGGAAAAAATTAAAACCCCACAAAAATGCTATTAGAAAAAATTTGGTGATCACCAGGCAGTAGTGGTGCAAACCTTTAATCCAACACTCAGGAGAGGCAGAGGCAAATGGATCTCTGAGTTACAGGACAGCTAAAGAAAACAGACAAAAAAGAAAGAAAAAAATGAAAGAAAGAAAGAAAGAAAGAAAGAGGAGGGAGGGAGGGAGGGAGGGAGGGAGGGAGGGAGGGAGGGAAAGACAGACAGACAAATGGACGGACAGACAAACATACAGGAGAGAAGGAAGGAAGGAAGGAAGGAAGGAAGGGAGGGAAAATAGAAAAGAAAAAGAAAAAAGTGATATTCTAGGTTCTACATTTGATCATATTTTATAGGATTGTAGCTGTTTCTTCATTTAATAGTGTTGTAACTCTGAATCTACTTTTTCTCTCTGGACGAGCAACCCATTAATCACCGACTGTGCCTTCATTCTATTCTGTGTACTTTTCCCTGAGTTCATGTAATTAAGGAATGTAATCCTCAGTGCTTGACTGAGCTCCTAACATCAGATATGACAAACACCAGGAAGTATAATAATCCTCAGGTGTTCGGCAGCTAAAAGCATTTTATTCCCAAAATTACAACCATTCAGAAAATAATTTTAAAGTTCCATGATGTAATTCAATCAAGTACTGAAGAGACAACCTATAATATCCTATACCAAGTACCCAATTTTAAAAGACAATATAGTTAGAGGGAAGCCCAGAGCCTGGAGAGGAAGGAAGAGTGTGATACAGCTTCTCTGTTCAAGATGAGACAGTGGGGAAGTTAGAAAAACGGTGAAATCCAGCATGACTCCTTATCAACTGGAGCACTTACTGATATTGGGGATGAATTATAAACACTTTTTAAGCTTTTTTAAAGAATCTATCCATTGTTCTTATAATGACCAACTAATTGGCAACCATAATCTAAGTGTTCTATTGAACATGGTTTTGGGAGTTACCAGCATCTGAATCAATGCACTGATATTTTCAGACCAGGCTACCTCACTAGCACAACACACTTGAATCCCCCCTGTTCTTTTTATCCGTATCAATAAAATCGCATATATTTCTCATGACTGGCTTCTCCTACTAAACAATTTTTATGTGATTTATTCCTGATGACACATTGCATGGTATGGATATAGAACTCTGCTTTCTCAAACATTTGAACTATTTTCAGTTACTTACCACTATCTGTAAAGTTGACATCAATGTTCTAGCTCACTGCTTTTTATAAATATGTATTTTACAACTCTAGAATAGGTTCAGAAAGTAGGGTAAGGTCACAGGATAAGAAGATAAACTCAAACAGGAAAGGAACCTGGAGGCAGGAGCTGATACAGAGGCCGTGGATGAGTGGCTTGCTCTCCATGGCTTGATCAGCTTGCTATCATATAGAACTCCCAATAGCCTAAGGATGGCCCCATCCACAATGGGCTGGGCCCTCCCCCAATGACCACTGATTAAGAAAATGCCCTACAGCTGGATCTTCTGGAGGCATTTTCTCAATTGATTTCTCTCCTTTGAGGTGACTTTAGTTTGTGTCAAGTTGACATAAAAATATCCAACAGTATTTAATATTTTAAATTAAATTAATTTTATAATTAATTAAATTAATAAACTTAGTTTACTATTTAAGCTGAGTTTAGTTGCAGCAAAATAAAGCTAGATGTCTTGTGTGTGGGGGGGAAACAAAAAAGAAGATAAGAAGACGCTGTTAAACAATTAATAACAATTTGTAAGTTTGCAACACTTCGCCTCAGTTCTCTCTTCTTTCTCTCAATTCTTACTGCTTGAACAGCTCTCCCAGCTTGGTGCAGTGGCAGATACTAGAGCTGAGAATTCTCTTTCTAACTTTTGCTATTTTAACACAAAAGATGAAGAGATGTCTTGTGGTTTACTTTGCAGTTTCTTTGTGTCTATGTTAACTTTCCATGCTTAATAGACCCTTGTGTTTCTTTTGTTTTGATGTTTGCTACTTCTGTGTGTTTTTATGTTCTCATCAGTCCCTTGATACAGTTATTCTAGCTACTCTGACCACAATGGTTAGATTGTCTGTCGGTTCTTTCTACTGACTGATTTTGCTTTAAGCATCATATTCCTCATTTCTTTCACATGTCTCTGCAGGGTCTGTGTCTGATAGCTGTCCACTGACTTTATAAGTAACTAAACAAAACTCTGAGTTCAATCTTCTTCCTCTGTCACATGGTTCTCAAGCCTCCTAACACTGAAATCATTGAA